GATCAAGCGGAAATATAAAATGTAAGCAGTAAATGAAATTCCACCAATCAAGGAAATACTTAAACAGAAACTGCAATTAAAGGCACAGAGAATAAGACAATATGAAAATAGTTGTAGGTTCTAAAAATACAAAATATGATAATCCAAACGATCTTGAAATTTTTACAAGGGAATTTGAACAACAGTTATAGATATCAAAAGGCTGCAATCGATTGAAGAAATGCAAACATTTTGATTGAATATTTGGAGCAACCACAAAGGAATATAATCCCAATTCAAAGTGGATCAAATAGGAACCAAAAAGAATGACGGATAAACCTGTAAAAGAATGGAAAATTATAATCAAGAATAATTTTATGCAACCTCTGACAAAATCCCACAAATGAAAATCCACAGGAAACGACAAGGTACCCAACTTTTGGCTTTATCATCTCCCATAAATCCATAAAACTCTTGCGCAAACTTTATCAATTAATAATCTCAATGGATCACTGAAGGTATTAAATATCTTCTACCAAAAACGGGTGAAACAGATTATCCAAAATAAATGTTAATAACATGTTTGTCCACCACATATAAATTGATTATGTCTGACGAAATATTTAATCTTTTCACAATGAAAACAACATTCTTTCCCTGGAAGAGAAGGAATGTCGAAGAGGTTCATATGGTTGAAAAGATCAACTACTAATAAATAAAATGATGCTGGAAAATTGCAGTTGAAAAGGTAGAAATCTCAGTACGGCTTAGATTACCTTAAAGCTTTTGATATTGTGCCACACTCATAGATCCTTAAGGCGTTGAAGTTGTACAAAGTCTCCGTGGTGATAATTAATTTCCTTATATATAGCATGGAACTGTGGAAAACCACATTATATCTAAATCATACCAAAGGTGTTGCCACATCCAAATGTTTGAATATTCAACTAGGAATCTTCCCATTCTCTCCTTATGTCCTTAATCTCCATTTCGCATGAATTAAACAGTAATAACTGTGTATACAATGTAAGAAATAAATTGATAAATCACCTATTCTACCTGGATGATATCAAATTCTTTGCCAAAGACGACAATGAGGTGAAGATGTATGCTCAATACTGTAAAATGTTTCAGTGATGATATCGGAATAGATTTCAGATTAGATGAATGTGCAAAGGTGACATTCTAGAAAGGGATAATGATAGAAACACACTCAATAGATCTGGATTTTGTCACAAAGGTTAAGGAACTGGAACAAGAAGAAGCCTATACATATTTAGGAGTCAGCGATGGAGATGGAATACAGCATATCCAAAATGAAGGAGAAAGTTAAAAGAAAAAATATTGCAGGCATGTGCGTCTGGTTTTAAATAGCGAGTTGAATTCACAACGCAGAATATCAGCCATAGACGCTTTGGCTGTGCCTGTGGGACAATACAGTTTCAACATGCTCAACTGAATCAAAGCCGACATTAAACGAACAGATTTCAACACGAGAAAGCTTCTTACATGCCAACGTATGCAGCATCCTAAGGCTGTTGCTGATCGTCTGTATGTGTCCAATTCCGAAGGATGCGAGAATTAATTTAACCAGAACTGTTTTATAAAATCACAATAATCGGTCTTCAAAGATACCTGGAAACTACAGAAGACCGAATAATGTCCGGTGTCAAAGAACATGAAAGAAATAAGAAACATTTTCAGTAATAAAGGAAGCCAACAAATTCAAAAAGGAAATTCAAATGAGTGAAGAAGTGCAAATAAAACGTAATACATTTACTGAAGTGTCAAAGAACTTAATATAGAAAGCAAATGCAATGTAATAAATACATAAACGATAGCAAGATAAGCCTCTTCATGGTCAATACTCTGCCGAACTGATGTAGACAAACCTTGTACTCGTCAGTGGTTACGTAGTGCAGTGTTAATAGATAAAAACGAAGGTTTTATTCTTGCTGTAAAGGACTAATACATGCTAACTAGAAATTACCAAGCATACTGAAAAAATAATGTTAATCCAAAATGCAGATTATGTGATAAATATCCAGAAAAAAGTTAATAATCATGTATTGGGTTGCACGGTGTGAACACACATTGAATATACAACTCGCCATGATAGTTGGTCAATATTTACACTGGAGAATATGCATCTTTTACGGGAAGGAAACTGCAAGAAACTGGTATGAACATCTCCCTGACGCGATTACAGAGATGGGGCTTGTAAAAATGTTATGGAACTTTACAATCCACACAGACAGAACAATCAAAGCTAATCGCCCAGACATTATCAGGAAAGACCGGAAAAACAATGTGCTTTCTTATAGACACTGAAGAGATTCCTGGTAGCCCGTGTCTTAAAGAAACACAAAAATTGTACTCACAAGTACAGCTCACGCATAACGAAGAGCTTAGTGTGTGTGATCTTAGTTTTTTGTTTGTTTTGTTTTTTTAACAAAAATGATCAATGGAAAATGTCAAGAAGCCATTTTTGATCTTATGTCTCAGGTTGGGACCCAGAAGGAAATCTGTGTGCAACAGAAATAAAAGGAAATAATAATAATAATAATAATAATAATAATAATAATAATAATAATAGTCTCCACCACTGGCATCACCACCACCATAATTATAATAAAAATATACGTATCCATTTAATAAAAAATAAAAAAGCTTACAAAAGAATATAGAAAGACAAGATATTTAACTATTTGTATATGTATATACGTATGTATGTATGCATGTATGCATATATGTATATGTGTATGCGTGTATATATATATATATATATATATATATATATATATATATATAGTCGATTTGTCGATTTGTTTGGGGGATCTTGATCCTTTTGAACAAGGCAGACGATCCCAACTTGCAGCATCTTTGGAAAGTACCTGAAAACCATGACACGAGTTAACCGAAGTCTTGAGAGTGAGATTGAGTAAACGGAACCATTCGGAAGTCGTCGATGGTTGAGCTAACACGGCCACAAATCATCATGACTGAGGGTTTAAACGAGCTGGACTTGTTCAAGAAATTGGTCATTCTAGTTTATGCGTTATCTCTCAAAAGCTGTATTTAAGGTCCGCTCAGCATAGTTGCAGTGTAAACCACAGGTGAAGAGTTTCGGTTGAAAGGGCGCATGTAAAAAGGATTTCCTAGCCGTCTTGACAGATAGATGTGCTCGGAAACATGTAACGAGCCATTCTGTATGTATGTATATGTATGTACTGAGTTAATAATTTCCCTTTAGAAAACCCATGGACTTATTCAGAAAGCAGGTATAGAAATACATGTATGAAAATATATATATATATATATATATATATATATATATATATATATAAACAATATATATATAAGTTCTTGCTGTTAAGATGAAATTAATCAGAAGAGAGATTTTTCTACACAAGAGATCTTTCCCAAGAACATCTTCAGAGGGTATTTTATACTTCAAATCAAATATATCAATTTATGAAACTGATCCTTTATATATATATATATATATATATATATATATATATATATATATATATATATATATATATATATATATATATACACACACACATATATATATATATAAATATATATATATAGAGAGAGAGATTAATAATATATATATATATATATATATATATATATATATATATATATATATATATATATATATATATATATTGCATTGTACCTAAAACTCACATTTTATTGGTGAGGAAAAATGTATATTATTATCTATCTATCTATCTATCTATCTATCTCTCTCTCTCTCTCTCTCTCTCTACTACACACACACACACATATATATATATATATATATATATATATATATAGAGAGAGAGAGAGAGATAGATAGATAGATAAATAGCCATCAGCACCTGACTATGGCATCGTACATGAAACTCAGTGTTCTGCTTCTGGTGGGGTAAAATATATATTTATTATAAATATACATTTCAGCTGTTATTATACGTCGAGGAATTTTTTATTAGCACCAGCATTCAATGTGCATTAATATCTATATATCTATCCATGTATCTATTTATATATATATATATATATATATATATATATATATATATATATATATATATATATATATATATATATATGTATGTATGGGGGTGGGTATGTGTTAGCCGGTAATTTCATTCCCGTTTTATTTCCTCAAATATTTAACGTTTTTCTTCCAATTTACCCAAAATTATCATTTATACTTTAATTTCTTCTCAAGTATTCTTCTTTCTTTCTTTTTTCTTTTTTCTTTCTTTCTTTGTTTCCGTTTTTTTATATATTGTCTTCATTATTTCTTCTTTTTTTCTCTCTTGTTTTATTCATTCTTCAAGACATTCTTCATTTTTATTTGATGAAATTAAAAAAAATATTAAAATAAAACTTCCCCTTCCCACTTTATTTATTTACATTCTCATTTACATTTTACCTATATACACTTCTTCTTTCCTTGGCGCTTTTCGTCTTTTAATTTTCTTGAAATCATCTCGCGAGATTTTCATTTCACCTTTTCTTTCTTTCATTTTTATTCTTTTAGAATTTTCTCCTGTCACGCTTACATCATTTACGTTCTCCTCCTTTGACACACTTGACTTACTCAGCCTTTTACTCATTTTTCACCTCCCATTTCCTCTTATCCAGCTTTCCTCTCCAAACACGAATGCATTTCTCTTTCTCTTCACTTTCTTCTATTTCCTTTTTTTACTTTAACTTTACACCTCTCTCTCATTTTTCTATTCATTCCATTCTTTTTCCCTCTTTTCTCAATTTTCTATAACTCCTCATGCTTTGTCGGAACCTGGTTGTCTCTCCCAGCTCCGAACTGATCCTTGAATTTTTGACAGTATCTGAAGTGAGTCAATCAACCAACATCTTAATACGTACATAACCAATGATGTCTTTGACTTTAAACACACAAAAACACCCACACACTGTACGCGTTCGATCTTCTTTCTTCTTTCTTTCCTTCTCCTCCTACTTTTTCCTTCATTCATCTCTCTGTCCGTCAGTCCGGACGCTGGTCGTTTGAACCGGCAAAAGTGATGGCGTCTGCCTATCCGGATATTGGAGGTGAGGGTGGCATTGGTGGCCTTTTCGGCAGAATAGAAAACAATGGCCATCCGATGTACGCGGCAAGGAGTGGCTCGAACGGCGAATGTTTCTGTCATTCAAAACCCATTAGAGCTTCTCTGTCGACTTGCAACACACTTTCTCTATGTCAAGACCACATTAGACATTGCCAGAGCAGAAACATAGAAAGATGACGAGTGAGAAAAGTAATAAGCGTCCTTCTACAAATATTCCACTTAAGACAATGTGCGGGCCTGCGCGCGTATGTGCGCACTTTCTATTGGTGGACATATCTACAATTGTTTTTATGTGCGCATATATGTATGTGACCATGCAAAATTGGAAGGGTGTATAAATGTGCCTCTGCTTATATTTTTAAATGTACGTTGGTATTTGTATTTCTATAACAAAGAATGTACATATTTCGTTAGGAAAATTTCTGATGTGTGGTTCTCTCTCTCTCTCTCTCTCTCTCTCTCTCTCTCTCTATCTATCTATCTATCTATTCGCACGCGTTTATGACTACTTTGTGGATGTGTCTGTGAGAGGGAGACACGTATATGAATATTTTATATTTGTTTCTATTTTATGAGAAATGATGAGGTTGGAATATTAACCTACCATGATTGAGTCAAGATACACACACACACACACACACACACACACATATATATATGCGTATGTGTGTGGTGGAGTGAGAGGGTGTGAATATATACTGAAAATATACACACATA